AAGAGGTATGACAGTACCCCATTATCACTGAAGGGTAGATGCATCACTGATTTTTTCTACGAAGAACACGGGATACATGCCACTTGCCTAATAACACCGCTTGCAGCACCTTCGACTCACCAAAAAATGTAGATGACCTGCAAAGTTAAGAAGTAAGTCAATACTGACTCTAATACGTTTTTAGGTTAGTATTTTTACATGCTTTTTATCTTTTGCTTGAAAAAATAGTCCATTCACTGCTTTTGGTTTTTTTAGTTCCTACAATGCTTTTGAGAACTATAATTGGTTTGGCAGTTGTATTTAGTTCATCTTGGTTTAGGCTGTTCCCCCGGGTCTTTCGTCGGCCTTCAACCTTGAAGGATCAATCTTCTCGGGCATTTTCAGCTGTTTAGGCAAAGTTCGAGAATCTAGGGGACATAATTGCTTTTGCACTCCAGATGTTTTATGGGCTAACTGATAGTCCGTATAGGTGAATTAACCAAACCTGATGGAAAAAGACTGCAAACGTCATAGGCGCCTATGACAGCTACGCAACTGTGCGCATGAAAATAAAATTTTGCAAAAGGGCATATCTATAGCTGCTTTTAGCCTAGCTGCCTCTATTTACGTCCCTCACCATTGACGAGCGAGCAGGTGTATCGATCAGTCGCCGTCACGCGTTCACGGAAAAGGTAGCTCTCGGAAAGTCTGAGGATTATCGATTTTTTTGTTGGCACGGCGCGTTTCTCTTACGAATGGAAACAGAAACAAACGCACAGACATGCCTGGTCTTACGAACTTTGGGGGTTAAGAGGTATGGTATGGCTGTCATGTTTTACTAGGGCAGGCTGCATCACCGCCAGTCACATTGCCAGCCCTCTCCTCACCGACGTCAGATTTCCATTGCATAAGCGCACAGTGCGCAGCTGTTTTTTTATCAGGGCGATAGGCTCCGCTAGTGGCGGCCGTAGATACGTAAGATGATGTTCACCTGGTATTGTGCGAGGCACTGGGGCCCAATTGCGTGATGACTGTTTTTAAGTTTCTTTAATGTGCGTACGTCCACGTTAGCTTCGTCAGCGGACCTTTTCTTGTGTCTTCTGTGTTGTTTGTTGCATGTGTTTACGGTTAGTGAGCATTTTGGAATCCCAAAAGCGCTCAGCTGACTTACCATTCAGTCGTTCCCTCGGCCATGAAAGCGATAATTCATGGTCCTAAATCTGGATGTGCCATTCGTGCATACGTACTTAAGTATGCGTGATTGCGAGTGTATGGGCTGCCTGGACTGCTTTTAACATTTTCACTGAATTTACATCGATGAACCATTGCTAATACACTAACGCTTCAATTGACTCGTTGCAGGACAAGAAGCCAGTACCCCTACGTACTTTTTAAATCCTCATTCGGCCGAATGAATCCACCAATGCCCCCCTCAATTGGACCATCTCAGTTTGCCTCCTCTCAAGGAGCTTCTGTTGAGGTGCTTCACACAGGACTGAATGTTGCAGACGCAAATGTCGTATCCACCGCAACCTCAGGAGATAATATTGCCCAGAGTAGTAGCAAAAGTGGTAAGAATACGTTCCAGAAGAACAAAGTTCCCTCTTAATGGGAATGCTTTAGTGTTATTATTTATCTTTTTCGTTTCTTATTATTTTTTTCGTGATATCGAAAGTATTCAAGTCGTGCTACACTCCCTTATGGGGCGCCTCATACAATTGTCTGCCATTTTGATTAAGTCTACCATATCGTTTTGAAAATGGCTTTGCCGTAACATCATCGAAAATGGTCAAACAAATTCGGATATAAACATAGAATACTCACACCTCAATGGATAAATGGTAAGGAAATGCGTATTTGTTATGTTACAGAAAATATTAGCCAAGGTACTAGCATTGCCATAACAATAAGCACAGCAGAAAAAATATAGCTTTTAACTTATCTATAATGTTATTTGGAATATAATGGGATTTTCACAGCATCAGCCCCACTCTCCTCCTAATCCAATTGTGATTCAGTAACATAACTGCGTCAGGCTAGTGGCCGACTCAGTATGAGCTATGTTTACGCGTGACATTACACGACTGGTTCCTAACAACTTCACTACACATAATAACCGAAATGTTCATCCCTTCCTCTGCATCCCACTTATCTAAATTAAGAAATACTTAACATATAGGTACCCCTCTTCATCTTTTGTTATCCACTTTGCTGAAAATACTCAATCTGTCATTCATTCCGTCTCCCTGGACTACTTCTTCCACATTAGCGTCAGAAACTGTGCCGTTAAGTCAACCTGTTCGAACTAACGGAAAATTTAACAACCCCTGGGACACATGGAAAGACGCTATCACCAACATGAAGGCTGCATACTACCTTTACACTAGACGCGCAGACGAGGGTAATAGCCCCTCCCCATCAGATCCGCAACTTGACATTCACCTGCCAATCAAAAAGCCAACTTTTGGTCCAGGCTTTTCGGATAATCCCTCATCTGGAGTCCGAGCAACCTGGATAGGCCATGCGTCGGTCCTCTTTAACGTCGACGGAGCAAACATCCTCTGTGACCCAATTTTTAGTCGGCGCTGCTCTGCTGTCCAGATGATTGGCCCAATTAGATACAGGCCTCCTCCCTGTAAGGTACGTACTTTGCTACCCGTTGCCATGCTTTTGTTCTTAAGCCCCCAAAAATCGTTGATCTAGTGTTGCAGTGCAAAGGCTAGGCTCAGGTAGATTTCAGTGTCAAGCTGCTGTAGTGAGACCGATTGCAAAGCAATAATCTTTGAGATCTAAGTACTTACGAAATCAAATAGTGCTCGATAAATTTTGGGTTAAGCTTGCTCCATTCGATGAAATTTTAAAGACCTACGATACATCTGACGAGGTCGGCCTCAGGCTCATTACCAGAAAGCAACAGTTTCCATAGTTTTGTTATCTTTTTGGGGGAGAACACGTAATACTATGGAAAGGCCCTCAAGTAAGGTAGGGAAGGACGGTTTCGCGTAGCCTCGCATGGATGCCGATATGGTGTCGACTTCGTTGTAAGTTCAGTTAGGTTCGAGAGGTCTAGAGCCTATCGGGCCCTATTTTATTGCTATGAATGACATAGTTCTACATTGTTAGGTTAACAAGGTTGATGCTGCATAATACCTTTTTCCGGGCATCTGAAAAATGTGCCCACAAGACGATTCTAGCGTATTTATTCGCTATAATTTTCCAAGTTATTAAAAAGGATCATGGACATTGCTACTTTAATGGACATTAGTTAATTTTGTCCAGGTGTTCCGAAGGTGATTCGAGTAGCGACGACGTGGTCTGTCCTGTACGCTGTACGAGACATTCAACGTAATACCCGTTAGGCTAAAGCGCGTCAAATCCTAGCATTGATAAAATATGTTTTTAGATTGCAAGAACAAAATAATTTGGTGGATCCATAAATTTCAGGAGCGCTCATCAGCTGCTACCTCTGATTGCATAACGCAAATAACGTAAGAGAAAATACTAAATTGAATTCATACAGAAAAATCAATATAATCAGCGAGGTCATAGGAATTGGCCAAGAGGCTAATCAATAATTTAAGAAAGTTAAAATACTGTGGGCAGCAAAGAAAGTGAGGAAAATCGTCTAAGGCAAAAAAAGTTGGAAGGGGACTGTGTAAATCTGGGAGCCGGATTTTACCCGGGCAAAACTAGGTTAACCACATGCTCCAACTGTTTACATAGGTCTGGTTTTGACCGCCGTATATAGGCTGCCTCCAGGTAGCGCACGGTAAGAGTTGTTCGTGCTCGAACAAGTATTCGGAAAAAAGTTTTAGGGTCCACAGAATGGCCCGTATCTAGTAAATGCTATGTAATGGAGGAACGAGGCGTTTTATGTTCCTGTTTGAAGAGCCAACTAGGCAAGTGCTCCTTAGCTCTGGCTGCCAGTTTTCTTTGCGTTCGCCCTATGTACATGAATCCGTAAGGGCACGTAAATTCATAAACACAGTTGGAAGTGGCGTGCAATGCCAAGGCATCCTTCGCACCAGAAATTGGTAAGGCCTTAGTTGGAGAGCAAAATATGAGCTCGGCAGCATAGTAAGTTCTGTTAATGACGTTAAGCAAGCGTCTCTTGAAAGTGTGTTGAAAATTGTATCGCCCTTAAAGGGTAAGGAAACTAAAACAGGCTTTATTGAGCTGACTGTTCTGTCCTTTTGGGTCGTAAGGATTGACTATACTTGTCAATAAACTGAGCTGCGATGAGAGGAAGCAGTTGATGAGCGCTCCTGAAATTTATGGATCCACCAAATTCTTTTGTTCTTGCAATCTACAAATTTGCACCTGGGAAACTTTGCTTTAAGGATAAAGTATGTGCAAAATCAGACTTTCACTTCGGTGGCTGTGGAATTTCCCGAACTGTTTTCGGCTATCTAGCTTTTGCTGCTCAAGAACGTTGTTGAACCATTGGATCTTTGCGATACGTTCCTCGCTGGCGATCGTCATGCAGACTCTGTTTCTATTCTATTTTAAATAAGGGGTGGCTTTGCTGAGAAGTAGAACCCGGAAGGTTCTCTTCATCACTTTCTTTGCTAAACAAGCGAAGTCATGCTTTTATGCTTTATATTATTATAATAATTCTATTTTCGAGCTAAATTATATTCTTTGGCACCAACTCTGTTCCATCAATCCGAGCCTTCTTTTCTGCCTACTGGAAGTTTCTCATCTTTCCTGTGTTGGTCTACCCTCGTTTGTTATCTGTGCCACAACGTTTCCCACCTAGGTTTCAGACCTGCCACCTCTGGATGCGGTGGTAATCTCACACAACCACTTTGATCACATGGACGTCAACACAATTATCGAGGTTGGAAAGCACTCACCTAACGCACTCTGGTGTGTCCCCTCGGGCTGCAAGAAATTCATCGAAGATACCTTGCGTCCAAAGAAAGGTGCAAAAAATCCTGCACCGAATGCGTGGGAGGCCCTCTGGTGGGAAGAAATTACCCTGAAACAGAAGGAGGGTGCAAGTGGTCCCGTAAAAATTGCTTTTACGCCGACTCAGCACTGGTCCGGCCGCATGAGTTATTTCCAATTTTTTTCGGTAGGTCAGCCTTGCTGATTTTATTGCAGCTTGTTATCCGTCAGTTTAAACGCATAATTATTATGGTTGTAAGAGTGACCGTTACTGCTTGCCTACTTGTCCTACTGGTTCTCGCTTTCCCATGACCCTTTGTCAGGAACGACTTCCGCTTTCCGTCACTACAACCCAGTTGACGGTCTGTACGTTAGTGTCAACCATCCTGATACATTTAATCCTTTATCCTCACCAGGACACAACTGTCTTTGCACAGGTTAATTTACGAGTTAATCCGCGTCGTGCGAAGCTCAGATATCTTAAATCGGACTTTTGAATCGTTTAATTGACTGGTCCTGAGTGGGACCGCGCAGATGTTATCAAACCTTCAACTGCAGACTGCACGAAATCTCGATAGCATTCCTATAATTCCGGTGCAAGTGGCCTCCCCACTGCCTACGCGCCTAGTACTTAATTGTATCGCACATCTGTGTGTACTAACTAATATGCAACAGATTCGGCAGCATGCGAGTAGAAAGCGGGGGATTAAGCTTCAACCGCCCATCAATTCATTGCCCGAGGCTCTTAATCTTATAACTACCCGCCGACGGGAAAACTTGGCCGCAA